TGAGGAGATATCTGTTGTCCAGCCCACCTGATCCCTGCCTCCTGGGCCAACAGGGATAGGCAACTTGCTGGGAGCCAGTCTTCCTATGTGCACTGCCTCATCATTCTCCACTCAAGTCTTCCCCCCTTGTCTTGTCCCTACAGTGGACAAGACCTACAACCTCTGTCCTTGCTCCTGTTTGAAGGACCACTATTCTGTTCCTCATCTTTTTCCTTTTCTACAGAACTTTAGAATAATCTAAGATTAAAGCAGCACAGCCATCTTCTCACTTTTTTTTTCTTCTACTTTTCCTTTCCTTACTCATTCTGCTTTCCATTCCCTACATTTTACTTTTGAAGATGGAGAATTCAAAACTATTACTTTTGCATATTATTGTCCTTTCTCTGGCATAATTTGGAACCAGAGAAGGATCTAATAAGCTTTGTTCTAATATCAGTTGCCTAAAATAATTGTGAAGTTTTCTCATTCCTTTGAAATAAGATTACCTTCAGATTTCTGCATCAATTAGTCCTGTTTCTCCTTCGAAATTAAGAATTATGAAGTGGCCTTTGGAAGTGGAGGAAAGAGAGAACAAACTACTGTATTAAAAAAATTACACCTTCCTCAAAGACTAAATTTAACTAGATAGAATCAAAAACTTAATACAAGAGGCTGGGCATGGTGGTACACACCTATAATCCCAGCATTTGGGAAGCAGGGAGATCTCAAGTTCAAGGTCAGCCTGGGCTACATAGTGAGTCCCTGTCTCAAAAAGAAAAAAGAAACCTTAATACATGTTGAGTGTAAAAAGATGTTAAGTACCAATAAAACATCTATTTTATGGCTAACAACTAAGTGCAATGGAGAATTTTAAAAATCCTTAAAAGATGAGGTTGTTTGTTCTAAGTTATAGTCTAGTCTAGTTGGAAAATGAAATGCTCAGAAGAGCAGTATAGTTTTTAATAAGGAACCAAATTGTTCAATACAGTTAATTTTAAAACAATAGCATTGATAAATCTGTTGTAGTCAGTCTATCAGGAGTTAATCATGAGTTAAGAAAGGGGAAGTCCTAAGCGGGAATAGCTAGAGAAGTGAAACCCACACTAACTTTTGAGGATGCAGAGATAGAAACAAAAGCTAGAACAAGAAACACACATAGAGAGACCTGGAGGCAGAATGAACATGCTGTGAAGCGAAAATGGTGAAGGCACTGGAAACATTTATGTATATATTTATTAACACCACTAAGAAATAATTATTAATGCTATAATCAATCCATATTCAATCTGCTTATTGGAGACATAAATGCAATCAATCATTTAAAACCTAGATCATCATGTCACTAATTCCATAGCCATTTATTAAGCCTCTACCATGTGGACAGCAATAGGCTAGGCATTAGCATATGATCACAGGGAAAGGGCAAGAAAATACTACTAATTAAATGAGCTAACAATGTAAGTAAAGCCTGCTAGGCTGAACACTTTACATGTCTTATGTCACTTTATCTAATTTAGTCCCTATAGGTAAACCAAGTGAACATTTTGTCCATTTTATATTGTTAAGATAGACTGAGTGTCAATGATACTGAGTAACTTGTTCAGTTTGTAAACAATTCAAGACAAAATGGGTCACTCAAATATGTAGCTACCAGGCACTTAATATGAAAGACACAAAGAAGTAAAACACTACACAAGTAATTATATGATTAATAGAGGAAATAACTTTAGAAACAATTATAATAACAGACTTTGTAGATTAATGTGACCAATTTCTAAATCAGTGGTTCTTATCCTGGATTGTACAATAGAATCAAATGAGGAGCTTAAAAAAGTGTTGATGCTTGGGTCATATACCCCCTAAATTCTGAAAGAATTCTTGAGTGCAGTCTGAACTTCATGAGTCTTAATAGTTTCCCAGGTGATTGTAAGGTCTGGGCATGAGTGAGAACAAGTGTTCTCCAGCAATGATCTGTTCTACTATAGATTTTGATTCAGTCATTTCAAGTGGGCAAAGATTCTGCATTTCTTTCCTATGCCCCTGTGCTCAGAAGGAGGCATGCATAAAGTATCAATGCAGCCCAGAGCAGGAGACTCTACTTACTGCCAGGGGAAAAAGTAAAGTAAGAAAAATAGCTTATATCTCTCTCGCCTGAGCATGAGTTTGGGAATTAGGATAATTTTATTTTTTCACATCACAACAGATCTTTTCATCCAGCAACTTTACCTACGCTCTTCAGCTTTCTTTCTTAAATGTGTGAAATGCCAATTTTCAACACTCCGTGTACTACCTACGATCTCTATCCTTCTAATTCACCCTTCTTCCAACTCTCAGATTGCAGAGCCCATTGTTCTCAGCATTTTTCATCTATCTATGGTTGGATGGATCAATCTATGAATTACTATCTATCCCCTTTCTAATAATCTTCTCTTCTTGTCTTCCAAAGATACCACGGAGCATCAATACAATCACTTCTTATAAACCCTCTCACTTGCTCCTCTCTGTGTGCTACTCATCCTTAATTAAACTCAACTACCCTCTTCTATGTCTGCATTCTCTTTACTGAAGGTCATTTGAGAAAATCATACCACATGTTGTCTGAACTTATTTCAAATTCATGACCCACATGGCAAATGGGCATTCACAGCTGCTAGTGATACCACCATCTTTTCACAGTTCACCTTCTGGCTCTCGTAAGATTCCTCTTACCTTCTTTTCACCCTCCCCCAACCTCTAATATCACCTTCCTGACACTTTCTCAGTTAAAAACCTCATCTAACATTTTGTTAAGAAAATCGATGTGACCAAGTAAGGTTTCTTTTATCCTCCTACCCATACACAAATAGCTTGCATAAGAATTTATCCTCTGTCTTTCCCTCCTGTTAGTAGGATAAGAATATGGTTTCTTTTTGAAGGCCATCTCCTACATTGTGCTTTGACTCCATTCCTTCATCCTGTTCTCTATTTCTGTAAACATTCCCTTTTTGTCCAGCATCAACAATTTCTCTTTCTCCACTACACCATGCCCACAAAAATAAAAACATTTATCTGCCAACCCAACATCAACAATAAAAAAAACTTCCCTTGCTCTGCTTGCCTCATTCTACTCACCATCCTGTTTCTTTGACAACTCCCTCATCCGCTACTGCCAACCCCCACTCACCACAAGAGAAGACAAGAAATCAATAAAACTAAGAAAGAGCCTCAAGGATTGTCTCCACTTCTCCTGTTCCTTTGTGAACTTTAACATGCAGTCTTCCTGCCTCACTATGCTTCTGAAACTGTTCTTGTCACAGGGTCTACTAACTGCCTTTGATCAATTCTGTGTCCTCACAACTTGACTTCTGTGCAGCAAGTGCTATAGTTGACCATTCCATTCTAACCGTAAAACTTTCTTCTCTTGACTTCTATACATCATCTTCTTACCTCATAGGCTTCTCTTTCTCAGTGTCTTGCTAGCCATTCCCCCTCCTCTGCTCACGTACAAATATTGGAAGTTATCATAGCTCTATCTACAATCTTTGTTTAGCTAATACGTAGTCCCAGACTTTGAGTTCCATGTATAAACTTGTAACTGCCAGATTTATATCTCCACCCTCTATTCCAGAACTATTATTGGTTGGAATGGAGTGTCTCCCCCGAAAAAGGAAAAAGACTTATGTTGGATTGGGGTGATGACTTAAGTGATAAGGAGATCTGTTTTGCAAAGTGATGAGCCCTGAGTTTCAAACCCCAGTCCCCATCAAAAAAGATAAGTTAAGAAAAAGTCTTGGTCCAACAGTGGCAGCATGTTAAGAGTTTTTGGCGAATGATTGGGATTATGAAGCCCTTGATTTAACTTCTACCTGAAACCCAACAAATCTTACAGCTCTTCTTTTTTTTATGTCAGCACCATCATACACACATGTTGCTCACTTCCAAAACCTAAGGTTCACCATATGCTGCCCTAGTTTCTCAATCTCTTTCACATCCAGTCACATCCCATGTCCCTTTTCCTTTATTTTCTCCTGCCTGTCATTCATTTCTGGCGCCCCAAACCACCCTTATTTCTCTCTTAAGTTATGAAGCAGCCTCCTATTCTGTTTTCCAGTCTTGCTTCTGTCCCATTCATTCTCCTCACAATAGACATATTCCCTTGCTTCAAAACTGAAGCTAAACTTTTAATGCTGGCTTTCAGAGCTCTACGTGGTCCAGCTTCTGCCTAACTCTCCACCCTCATCTCAGACTATATTCCCACTCACTCAGTAAGCTTCTCTTTCACTGGCTCCCCAACCCCATGCCAATTTCATAACAAGCTCATTCCTATCTGCATTTGTTCTGTCCCTTACCTACAGTCATTTTCCTGTTTGGTTTCCTTCTCACTACGTTCTCTCTCTCTGAGGCCGCTCTTTCCTTGATCACCTAGTCAAGGTGTTACTTTCCTAGTCACTATCACATCACTACATCACCTTTGAAGTATCAGAAGCACTTGGTTCATTAATTGGATCATTTGTCAAACATGTCACTGGAATTTCGTTCCATAAAGGGATGGCCTTTGTCTGCCTTGTTCACCACTGTAAACTGAGTCCTTTGAAACCACCCTATCTCACGGCTAATAAATACAGTGACTCTATGTCCCGCTGCTCATTTCTAAGATAATACAGTCATGAACAATCAGCGCTAAATTTTAAGTGGAGAAATATGGCCCTCAAGGAAAAGTTAAAGCAGGGAGTCAACTTAGTGCCTTTTATCTACTGAGTGCCCAATGTCTAATGTGGCCACCGTATGTAGAGAGGTGACAGAACATCAGGACCTGAGGCTTTTGAGTTATCTGCTTTCCTGAAAACGGTGGTGAATCCTTGACCCATTCTTAATGCTATCTTTTGGTAAACGATTATCCCAGGCTTTAACTTCCGTAACCATTCTTTCAGCAGCGTGGCCTTGGGGAAGACGGCAGGGCTCTTGCGCATGCGTCCTGCTGCAGCTTGGGCGGCGCCCGCCGCGGTCTTCACAGTGCGCATGAGCACTTCGAAGCGGCGCGAGGGGACGCCTGTTTAGGAGCTTACCGGCGACTCGTAGGCGGGAGCTCTGAGAGGCGGCCTCCCAGCAGCTGAACAGCTACAGAACTCGTTCTCCCTTAAACCGTGAGTGTCTGACGGTTCGGTCCATGGCGTGGGATCGTGAGGGATTAGGAACGAATTGTGGATCGTGGCTTCTGTCTGCTCGCAGTGCACCTTTCCGCTTTGCCTTCTCGGATTCGTCCGACCCGCAGCGGGAACGTCGTGCGCCTGCGCACAAAAACAACCGTTTGGTCTCGGGCCGAGAGAGCAAGGTCCTTCGGTGCAGGGCGCGCGCGCGCTCCCGGAAGACGCCCATTCTTCCCTGTCGCCGCCGCCGCCGGCCGCCGCCCGGCGCTGCAGCGGGCGTTGTGTGGTTCTTTCCAACCAGTTTGAATGGAGCCTCGGCCAAGGCTGCCGCTTCCTTTCAGGGCGCAAAGGAACTTCTCAGTGCAAACCGCGCCCCACCCCCGCCCCCTGCGCCCCGCCCCCTGCAGACTGGACTCGCAGCCACCACCCCGCCACCAGGTTCGGTTTGGCCACACAGGGTACCGGGAAGTCCTCCCTTTGTCCCCTGCCGGTATTTCGGGAAGGGGGAAGTGAAGCAGATGGCATTCGCACGGGATGCGTTACGTGTCTGCCCCTTTGAGGGCAGTGGCTTTGCTTCGTGCTCGGCCTGGTGAGTGACTGACACTGCCTTCTCCCGCGCTGTAACGTTCACAGCTGCTGCTCCCCTGTGGACGTGACGCCTTAGCCGACGCGTCGCATCTCAGTGGTTTCCTGATGGACGCGGCCTTGGGGATTCAGATGGACGAGCCGATGGCGTTTTCTCCCCAGCGTGACCGGTTTCGGGCTGGTGACTCGTTAAAAAAACATGAGCAGAATATTAAACTTTCAGGTATGTGTTTGATGCCAAAGTCGTGCAGTTCTCAAGACGCACAGGCGGGCAGTCGGTGTAGTCCATTGCTTGTTAAAAAAAAGCATTGCCTCTTAAAATGAGCTAAATGTTTATATGGGAGCATTTTACAAGTTTGTAGATTCATCAGATCTGGGTTTTGGATTGGATTGCATTTTAAGAGGATTGTAATCCAACCTGGTCGCTTTACGGATAAAGTTGCTAAGGTCTACATATTGGTGATTGTCTAAGAAAACACAAAGTATGTTGATGCCAGAATTAGAATTTGTCTTCTCCTAAACCTGTTCTTATCTTTCCTCACCATACTGCATTAAAGCTTGATTTTAGAAATGGACACTGGCGTGATCATCACTTAAATATTCAAAGGCAGAGTTTACTGACAAAAATAAATGTTTGTAGCAATGATGATGCACCATATCTCAGTGTACTTCATTTAATGTTTGACCATAACCCAGATCTTAGGCTGAGAATATGATCAAAAATACAAGCTCTTGAACACTAAAATGTGTACCTTCATTCCTGCCTTAGCACAAAGCCTGGGACATGGTGGACATTTTATATATATTGCTTGTCCAAAATATTTTGACCTTTCATTCAAGATATGTAGTGAATATATATGTACAAAAGACTTTAACCCCATTCTAAAGAATATATCACATATTTTTGCTTCCTGACTAAAACTAAACTCATTTTTTATCAAAATACTCTTTCCTGAGGTATCCCTTTTTAATATAATACCAATGCTTACCTTCTCCAATAACCGTATACTTTAGAAACTTCAGAGCTTGTCTTCCAGTTAGTTAGCTTTGTATTTCCTCTACATGCAGTCACCCAACTTCATCTTGTGTTTGTGTGTGTGTGTAATTGGTGTTTGAACTTAGGGCCTCAGACTTGCTAAGCAAGCCCTCTACCACTTGCACCACACACCCCCAGCCCTTTTTGCTTTAATTTCAGATAGGGTCTCAGTTTTTATGCCTGGGTTGACCTGGATCACTGTCCTCCAATTTATGACTCCTGCTTAACTGGGTATTACATATGTGGTACTCCCACTTCTCACCGTTTTTATTGAGATAGGTTCTCACTAACTTTTTGCCCAGCCTGGCCTGAAAAATCCATAATCCCTCTGATCTCCTCGCTCTGAGTAGCTGGAATTAAAGATATGAGCCACCTCACCCAGCTCTTCATCTTTTTTTAAAATTTTGTTATAGCATCCTCTTTCCATTTCTCATTTTCTACCACTTTAATTCATTCCCTTAACTTTGCACTTTAGTTTAAAATGACAGGCTTTACCAAATTGTCTGGTACTGGTGTTCTAATCTTGCAGTTCATCTTGTATGCTTACTAGATTTAAAACGACGATTTTACATCAGGTTTTATTTTTATTTTTAGTTATTTCTCAGGTGAAATCTTGTGGTTTTTTTTTTTTCAAGCCCGCCTGGATCAGGATCCACCACCAACTTAAGCTTCCCACATAGCTGGGATGACAGGTGTGTGTCACCACACCCAACTTTTCTGTTGAGGTGGGGGTCTTGCTAATTTTTTGCTTGGACTGTCCTGAACTGCAGTCCTCCTGATCTTTGCCTCCTGAGTTGCTGGGATTATAGTTGTGAGCCACTGTGCTCAGCTGGAGATACATTTTTTAAAAATGAAATTGGGATCATAATTAACTTATTTCCATCTCACTTTTTTTGGAGGGTGGGGGGTGCTGGGTATTGAACCCAGGGCCCAGGTCCTCTGATCTCAGTATTTTGTTTACTGTACATCTTGAACATTTCTTATGTACTTAAGTATTCTACAACCTGGTTTAAGTTCCATTGCATAAGATGCTGCAATTTAATTGCATTATTGAATCTTTAGATCATTTTCATTTTTTTTTTCTGTTAACAAAAATGCTGGCTTGATACAGTGGCTCACACCTGTAATCCTAGCTACTAAGGAGGATCAAGTTTCAAAGCCAGCCTTTGCAAGATCTTTAGCAAGACTCCATCTCAACAAAATAAACCAGGCATGATGGTGGCATGTGCCATTGACCCCAGCTGTGCAGAAGTGGAGATAGGAGTATCTCATCTAAGGCCATACTTGGGCAAAAATACAAGACCCTATCTGCAAAAACGGGCAGAAGCATGGCTCAAGTGGCAGTGTGAGGCCCTGAGTTCAAACTCCATACCACCGAAAGAAAGAAAAGTGCTGCACTGCACAAAGAGCCTGCCCAGTATTGGGTCAAATGTGTTCTTTTGTTGTTTCAGCAAGCTTTTTTTTAAAAGTAGTTCCTGCCAGGTTAATGAGAAAGATCTGTTCAGTGAAAGAATAAACTATTTATGTACTGAATGTCTCCTCCATACTGTTAAACTGTACAAGAAGGACTTGTACAGTTTTATATGTGTATTTTTCTGTGTGTTATAGGGATACCCATGAACCATGCTTCTGAAATGGGTTATGAGTATTATCTTGGTTTGTCTAAGACAGATTCATTTCATACCTGTTGTCCCAAAGGAATTCTTATCAGTGCTTCCTTTCACTCTCAGGAGTTTGGGCAAAATTATACAATCTTCCTGGTTACAGGAGGTATAATCAGTGCACACATCCCTAGCCTAAACATGGCATATATTCCAGGACTGTCAGTTTTACTCCTTGGTGAGACATTGAAAACATGATTATGTGATGAAGATTGACATTATGTGCACATACTTTTCTGGATGGTAGGAATATCAGTGCATAAAACATATCATCACGCTCAGTCTAATGGAAAGCAATAGACAATAAACAAAAGAAATAAGTACTGTGCTCAAAACTGTTAGTGCTGTGAAGAAATGTGGAAGGGAAGGAGAACTAGACAGTAGTGAGGGAGGAGATTGTGATTTTAAATGTGGTTAGAGAATGCTTCAGTGAGGTAACATTTCAGCTGAGGCTTGAAATAAAGTGAGGTATGAGACTGGGTGTAGTGGCACACACTTGTAATTCCAGTTGTGCAGGAGCCAGAGATAGGAGAATCAGAGTTTGAGGCCAGCTCTAGGGGAATAAAAGTTAGCGAGAGCCTATCTTAAAGAATAAGCCAGTTGTGGTGGTGCATGCCTACTGGAGGTGTTAAGTAGGAGGACTGCATTCTGAGGCTGGCTTGAGCATGAGCATAAGACCCCACCTGTAAAATAACTAAAGCAAAAAGGGCTGGAGGTGTGGCTCAAGTGGTAAGACTGTTTGCCTAGCAAGCACAAGACCTGAGGTCAAACCCCAGTACCAACCAACCCACCACCCCCCAAAAGAAAAGAAAGGGAAAAAAAAAAATGCGACTAGAAGAAAGTTGATGGGAGTGAAATCAAAGAGATACAAAGAGAAAGAGATGAATAGTCCCTTGGCATCTATGGGGAGTGAATTGTAAAGCTGTTAGAGGGTGTGAGCACAATAGTGACATGGTGACTTAGCTTTTAATAGAATAATTGTGACTAATGGCCTGCAAGACAGAAGCAAAGAATGTCCTTAAGGAGACTATTGCTACACTAAAGCCACTCTGAATATATTATGTAGCAGAAAACAAAGAAGCCTAGACCCTCTGCATAAAACAGAGTGGGGGAGATTTAAGTAACCTTTTAGCATTTAATCTGCCCCATCCTTAAAGTGTATATTCATTTGTCTCTTTAATAGTATTGTTCAGCCTTTGACATGAACACACTTTTCTGCTTTCTACTCTTATCTCTCACTTCAGAATTTGAGAATAATGTATTTGTTTTGGTTGCCAGAAAATTTTAACATTGTTTAAAAATGTCGAAGTTGTCCCAGGTGTGATGGGGCACACCTGTAATCCCAGCATTTGGGGCTGAGGATTTCAAGTCCTAGGCCAAGTCCTGAGCTATATGGTGACTTCAAAGCCAGCCTGGGATGTATAGCAAAACCCTGTCTCAAAAGGAAAAAAAAATAGTCAAAGTTGTTCTGTAACGACAAGAAACCTTAATATCTTTGAGTCTTGTACATTGTCAATGAGTGGTGTGAAAGTTACAAACCTAACTTACATTTGTATGGCTTGGGCAGTATAACATTTTCTACATATATTTTCCTTCTTGTGATTTGTAGCAGTTAACCAGTATCTCTACTGCTAACTGCCAGCTCATGTTTGTGCAAAGAGAAGTTCCAAAGTGTGCACTTCATAGGAAAGTCATAGATGGAGGTAAAGTTCATCTGATCCAAACCCTTGTTTTACAAGTTAAGAAACTGAGAACTAGTGGGCTTCAGGACAAGAGGTGAATCCAGATCGTTACCTTCTAGGTGTCCTCTGTGTCAGCACTGGGCAGTACAACCATCTATTGTATAGAAATGTTGGTTAGTACACAGAGGATATTAATTTTATTATATTTAATTTTAATTAAATTTAAATAACCACATGAAACTAGTGGACAGCATGACTTATCATTCTGCTGCAAAATTTTCAGTGTTATTAGTCACACACTGCTTGAATACGCTTAAATGCACTGAATGCTAGAATAACATTTGATAATAAAATAACTGCAAAACAGAAGATTAAACCAACAATTTTAATAAATTTCTATAAACCATCAAAAAGTGACTACAAAATATGTTTAGTAATAAAATGACTACAGAGTTCTTAACATAGTTCATCATATCTGAAAACCACCAATTGTAAGATGCACTATTTTATGTGATCTTCAGAAATAGCTCCAGTTACATTATGACATGCTTTAATCACCTAGAAGTTTTTTTATTTTATATTTGTTGAAAGAATTCTTTTAGTCCTTACTGCACACATAATGTATATCTATTACATATATAAAAAGGAAAAAAAGTCACGTCTGTTTCTTTTGGGTTATTTTTTATTCTTTAGACTCATTGACATCTTATTATTCACTTGAAACATTGTTTTGTATACATTAGTGACACAGAATTTCTTTGAAGAATCCTCTGAAAGTAAAAAGGCATTGTTAATTTACTTTTGAGGAAGGCCCAGTTCTGTGGAGCTGACATACATTGGCTCGCTGCTTCTTCTGTAACCCTTTGACTCTTGAAGTGTTAAGTGATTTTCTTTATTCATTGCCACCTGTTCTAGCTGACAGCTGGAAGATACAACCAAACTCCAGAGTTACTAAAATCATGTCTTAGAATCAAAGAAATGTAATATCAAATTGAACACACCACTTTAGTACCCATTCCCAGTGCCTTTCCTATGACTGTGGAACTTGAAGGTGGTTGGAATTGACCCTCATTAGGAAAGATGGCAATTTACAATGGCAACCATGACTGCTAGAAAGCCAGCTTTTTCCAGGTCTTGGTTTCAGCTTCTAGAATGCAGTAATACAAATGCTATCTTTGGCTTTATCCTATGTGGCTTCTGAACTTTTTGCTTTTCTTTTTCCTCCTATAGCTATACATACAATGAAAGTAATCACTCAGTTATTCAACAAGTATACCAGGCAGTGTCTCCTATACTAGGAGAACAGGGAACCTATACTGTGCAACTTTTTTTCTAATGGGATGAGGCAGACATCTAACAAATAAGACTGTGACAATTTTGAACCAGCCTATGAAGTTAGAAGAATTGCTTTGTTTGTTTCTAGTGCTGGGGATTGTTAACCATGCACTCCATCACTGAGCTATCCCCTCCAGCCCTCCAGAGAAGAGCATTTCAAGCAGAGTAATAAAAGCAAAAGCCCTAAAGGAGTAATGACAATAATAATTACCATGGAAGCTGTGTGTGTGTGGTTAGTATGTGTGATTTTCACTCACTCCTCAGAGCATCCAAATGGTATGGATGCTGTTAATACCCTTTTCAATAGATTGTGAATCTAGAGCTCAGTGGTAGAGTACTGGCCCAGCATGTGCAAGGCTCTGAGTTCCATCCCCAGCATTGCAGGGGGGAAAGATCTGAAAAGAAAACACACATGTAAAAGTGCTTTGAAAATGTCCTAAACTGTTAGAGAATGCAGAGTATTATTATGACAACTTAGTGGCTGATGCTTGCATAGATACTGCATAAAATCTGAACATTCTTATGTAGTTCGTTTTTGTATCCATTAGTTTGTTAGATTTTGTGGTGTTTCCTCCACTTACTTTAATCATATATGTTTTCATAAAAAGCTTATATTTATTTAAAAGTAGTGATTTTTCTTCTGTCCAAGACAGAGGATATGATGAGTATTTGGGATACATTAAAAAAAATTTTTTTAACAAGCCTTAGTAAACCTCTCTAGGGACATCCTGTGAACAGTCAATACATAAAACTTTTTTTCTGGTGGTACTGGAGTTTGAACTAGGGCTGTGCACTTGCTAGGCAGATGCTCTACCTCTAGAACCACGCCTCCCGCTCCATAACACTTTTCTAAGCCTTTAAAATGTCTTTGGGGAAGGTAATAATTTTCAAGAACGTTTCAAGTCCTTATAACACCATCTAGTGATTGTAGCATAAATTGTTTATTCTTTCATTTTTATTATTAATATTTCCGTGTTTCTCGTTTGCTTTTTTTTTCTTTCTCACTCTGTTGCCAGACTGGCATCAAACTCCTTAGCTCCTCAGTGAGCTTCCTGCTTCAGCCTCCCAAGTAGCTGGGACTACAAGCATGCACCACCTTGCCCAGCTTAGTTAATTTTTAAATTTAGCAACTTTATTTTAAAGGCCAAATATGCAAAAATTGTACACCTATTAATGTATAGTTCCAGTGTAGTAGAAATTTGGTATGTGCAGTTCTGGGATTGTTATTTTTTGTTGGTTAATACAGGGTTATGTGAGTGATAGCAACTTAGTGGGGTTTTGATTAATCTTACAATTTTAAGATTTAGTAAAGCTTTTCTATTTGTGATTAATTACTTATATTTTAAAGTTTATTTTGCACTCCAGAGGCTGAGCCCAGAGGATTACATCTTCAAGGCCAGCCTGTGATACATTAGCAAGACACCTCAAAGAAACAACAAAAGAAGCTATAAAATATTGATTGTAACTATAAATTATAACTATAAATTCTTGTTTCCTTGGTAGGAGTTAAAAAAGATATTGAGAAGCTTTATGAAGCTGTACCACAACTTAGCCACGTGTTTAAAATTAAGGACAAAATTGGAGAAGGTAAATTGGGATATAGTTTATTATTTTTACAGTGTTTTTTCTCTTCTGTTTTCTTTGTATAATCTTGATTTTTCATTATTATTTCTTGATAAATATCCCACTTTTTTAAAACCATTAAGATCATGATACTATCACTAATTACAGCACCAGCTTTCCTTTTTACCCCTGAAAAGAACAAAAGTATAAATAATAAATATTTACAGTAAAATGAACAGTCCTATTTTAATCTGTTTTGCCATTAAAGCAGTTTGTCAATCTTTTTTAACATTGTTTCATGGACAATGTTAAATTTAATGTTTAATGTTAATTTAAAGCCAAATATTGAAAACAAAAATCTAATAAATTGTTTTACAGGTACTTTCAGCTCTGTTTATTTGGCCACAGCACAGTTACAAGTAGGAGCTGAAGAGAAAATTGCTCTAAAACACTTAATTCCAACAAGTCATCCTATAAGAATTGCAGCTGAACTGCAGTGTCTAACAGTGGCTGGGTAGGCAATGTAAAGCTATTTAAATTAAATTGGCTGTATGTAATTTATAATGTAAACTAGATGTTTAGCAGGAATAATGAGATTATATGTGAATTAAACATTTTTCAGTCAGCTGTTGCAATTTGCTAGAACTTTATCTCTAACCTTGCAGTGGTTAAATGTGTATTAATTCTTGTAGAGGGATTTTCCCTTGAGGCCTAGCTTGACTTACTGGTTTTTTCCTTGTTCTCATAATCTTCCTACGAAATCATAAACCTCAGCTTCTATAGTCTAGGTTTTGTTTTTTTGGGGGGGGGTGGGGGGGTGGGGGATGATGTTAGGAACTCATATTTTACATATCCACAGCTATTGTCAGTCTTATGTCATATTTTACTGAGAACAACAGAATCATTAGGCATATCTTTCTTCTTGGTTACTCTGTTAGGTCATTTCTATCACCATGTGAACATGATATAGTGGCCTTTCTTGTCCTGAGTGCTGAAAACACAGGTGTTCACCACCACACGTGGCCACTACTTTATAATTTCATTGTAAAGATTAACAAAATTGATTTGAACCATTGTCTTTTGACTTCTGCCCTACCACACCTCGTTTTCTTCTTCCTCATTTAGCCTTGGCTTTTCCTCCTCCTCTTGTTGACCTTTAACTACTAGAGTTGCTCATTGCTTGATGCTAGACTTTCTCAGTATTCTTCCTTAGCCCACGGCTTGCAGGAATGACTCCCCAAAGTATCTGTCTAGCTTCAGGTCGTTTATCTTAACTGCTGATTTATATATTTACCTGCCCGTTTGACATTCCTCACTTGGGGGCTGATGAATATCCCAAACGTTATATGTTAGAAACTAAATTTTAATCTACCTTCCCTAGTCAGAAAAATACCCACCACAGCAAATGTTCTGTTCTGCCCATACTACAAATGGCACTACTCTTGTCCTCCATTTCTCTCCTAAACCATGTCCACCACCAAATCTTGGTCATTCCGCCTCCAAAATATATTTAAAAACTTATCCATGCCTTTCTGTCTTTTCTGCCATTTCCTCAGTCCAAGCCTAGACCACATAGCCTACTTCTTTTCTTCCCTGGTTAATGTCATCTTCATACAATAGTCAGAGTAATACTCTAAATATAAAACATATACATATGTAACATACATAGGATGTCTTTCAGTGGTTTCCCAATGTACTTGAAAAAGAAATTCATCCATATCTCATGTCTGGCTTCTTAACTCTCTCACTGTGTTCCAGTTTCTTTAGTTCCTTAAATTTGCTTCAAGAGCTTTCTTTCCTCATGGCTACTGCCCAAACTGTTGCCCTATTTAAGAGGACTTCTCCCAGTCTTCACATGCTGACATATCTTTCTGATATGCACAAGAGTGACAAAGCTTCAAAAATGAGTTCATCTAATCTTACAGTGCAGTCAGCCAAATTGTCTTTGTGCTGTTTCCCTTGTATCCTATTTTCCTTCTTATCTCTTGTTTTGCCTCTGCCTTTCCACTTAAATTGCCCTCTAAAAAATTACGTTAATTCCTCATTGTCAAAGTAAAAGTCCTTCTTCTCTTTGATTCCCATGCTGATCATCCCTTCAAAATTCCTCATTTTGTTGTCTTTTCCTTGTTTTGCTTTTCAACTCCAGGACTTTTTTTCCAAGGCCAGTTTCTCTTTTTTATAATAATCAGGTATTGCTTCTCTGCAAGTATTCTCACCGACTTCTTGCTTCACTTCCCACCTAAGATTTAGTCTCATATTTAGATATCCCTATCAAAATGATGAGGTCTTTGTTTTAGGTGCTTCGTTGCCTGGTTTTTCTACTTATTTTGTTGTTGTTGACTTTGTTCTACTCACTCAGGCTCAAAATTATGAAAACCAACTTCCCCATTGTCCTCATCTTTTATGGAAAAGTGTAGCGTGGTGATTAAGGCAAACTACCTGGATTCAAATCATGGCTCATGACCTTGAGAAGGTTCCTTAACCTCCTTGCCTCAATTTCCTCATCTGGTAATAAAAAAAAAAAAAAGGCAGGAAGAAGTAATACCATCTTCCTCATAGAGTCCATGTAAAGATTGAGTTTGTTAATAGGTTGAAGTGCTTAGATCAGAGCTTGACATATAGTGAATGGTCAATAAATGTCACCTATCATTTTTAAATTTATTGCTGTAAGCATGTTATCTGCTACTGTCTTGTTAATTCATTCTCATTAGTGTTTTTCTTCTTATACTGTCACTTCCCCAGGAAAACTATAATTATCTCTTGTTTGAATCATTATGGTAACCTCATAACTGGTGCTATTTTTGTTTTTAAAAATATTTTATCTTTTTAGAAGTCAGTGTTTTTTCTAGCAATATGTATGCTTTGCTAGAATTATATATATATATATATGCACATATATATACATATTTTTAAAAATGCATAAGATTCTAGTTCATTTGGCCTTCCTCTAAAGTTCGTTGTGCATTTTTCCACTAGGGGGCAAGACAATGTCATGGGAGTTAAATACTGCTTTAGGAAAAATGATCACGTGGTTATTGCTATGCCATATCTGGAGCATGAGTCCTTCTTGGTAGGTTTTTTAATTCCTTGAATTTTTTATTAGCTAAATGTTTAATTGGAAACCATTTTATGACCTTATTCATTACTTTATTTTAGGACATTTTGAATTCTCTTTCCTTTCAAGAAGTACAGGAATATATGTTTAATCTGTTCAAAGCTTTGAAACGCATTCATCAGTTTGGTATTGTTCACCGTGATGTTAAGCCCAGCAATTTTTTGTATAATAGACGCCTGAAAAAGTAAGTATAGAGAATTCCAGAAGTATTTCCACGTAATTTGTGCTATGGAGTCCATCTCTTAGACATAGAACATACTGCAACCTCTATGTGCAGATTGTTTCTGCTTAAAATTTTTAGTGTCATGCAATGAAGGAAATAAAATACTTAATACATCATTAGATGTATCACGTACCATGGTTCAACAGAAGTAGTACTCGGCTAAAAGAGACTTAGAATTTATAGTCCTTTTTGACCTTACACATGTCTCTTGTCTCTGGGCTTATTTATGAGACAGTAGGAAACATGATAGTCAGTTTCCTATTTCAACACCTCAGTTCTGGTTTTATATGTATTTTATGCTGATTATATACATACAGAGGCATTATAAGATGAAAAAATACTTAATCACACAAATGAATCATACTGGGTATGTTACATTTGTAATTCTTTCTTAGCTTTTTGCCGTTGACTTTTTAGTGTTCTGAAACTTGTTTAAGAAATTAGAAATTATCTACTACCGTGCCATCTCTGCCACTGTCAGAGAACAAAATTTCGCTTCTATTGTGCATTCCTCTTCTGCCTTGTCAGCACAGACTGCAAAAAAAGTAAGTGGTTAGTTAAAGGATACATCTTTTCTTAATTTTCAGTCTTAGCTGTCAAATACTTTATTTGGAAAATTTGTTTTTCTTTTTTTTCAGGAATGTTACAAATTCTTAATTGTTCTTAAAAAGAGTTCGTTTCTGTATGATTTGATAGTATTACAGGGAAGTTACAATACTTAATTTTGTTTCTTAGGTATGCCTTGGTGGACTTTGGTTTGGCCCAAGGAACCCATGATACGAAAATAGACCTTCTCAAATTTGTCCAGTCTGAAGCTCAGCAGGAACGTTTTTCACAAAGCAAATCTCATGTAATCACTGGGAACAAGATTTCATTGAGTGGCCCAGCTCCTAGGGCTCTGGATCAGCAATCCACCACAAAAACTTCCATCAAAAGATCCCACACAAATGCACAAGTTCAGACTAAACAAGGAAAGGATGGAAAGGTTCCACCTTTTATATTTTTTTAAATACTAGCACTGTCTTAGAGATACACTCTTTCATCCAACAGAGGGAGGTATAATTCTAGGATAGCACTTGTAATTAAAAAGCTTCTTTTTAAAACATTTGTTATATGCATTCAGTTGACTAGATTTCCACTAAGATTTGTACTGAATCATTTATTACTATCAAAAATTTATTATATCTTTGTCATTATGTATTAGAAATTTTCATTATATGAAAATACCCCCTGCATGTTACAAAGTTTAGATTACCATTTTTTAAAGAAAGCATTAGTTGTAAGGGAAAAATTCTGAAGTGTCTATCTCCATTTTAGCTGCACAGAAAAATGTAATATCCATGCAGGTGGTTTTTTAATTTTTTTAGTTATATTTATTTGTGGATCATGGTAATAGTGTATGGGTGTTAAGAAGTCTGTCTAGACTATTTTCTCCTTTCACAGAAGTGTTTTGATGCCTGAGAATGTCTTGGATGCAGCTGTTTTTGTTTCATGTCACTTAACTCAAAATTGGCAGAGTACAGCTGGCAGAAAGTGTTACAGACATAATCCTTATTTTCCTTGTTTTTGTTGGTATTGTAGGAGGGATTTGTAGGCCTTTCTGTCCAGCGCTCTGTTTTTGGAGAAAGAAATTTCAATATACACAGCTCCATTTCACATGAGAGCCCTGCAGTGAAAGTAAGTAATGTAGATTAATAGTGTGGTGGTCAGTCAGTTGTACACTGAAGGGAATTAGGTAATGATAAGGTTAGCATTTATTAAGTAGTTTAGCTCTGGCAGAAGGCATTACTGCTTTGAGCATTTAGTCAAAAGTTTCATTTACTCCAGTTTTTTCTAAGCTTTTTGAGTTGCTTTGGTTTTTGGTGGTTTTTTGTTTTGTTTTGTTTTTTGTTTTTTTGGTGTTTTGGGGTTGTTTTGTTTTGTTTTTTGCCTTTTTGGTTGGTTATTGCCGTTCTTTCCCTATAGGAACATTTAGGACATTGCTAGAACGTGAGCTTCCAACACCTAACATAGTTCTGACACATTTGATGGTATAAAGATGTTTGTAAAGTTAAAATTATGTTCAATGTTAGATGATTGTAAAACGACTTTAAGATATCTTGTGACAGCCAGACAGCTTGAATAACAAAACTCTGACTTTAGCAAGTGTAATTGTGCAGTTTACAGTTGTGAAATGGAGTTAGACACTAGAACATAGTGTACACTTTTGCAGTATAGAGAAATAGTCATAGTATAGTGTAAAGAAAGTGTAGGTTTACCAAACTAGTTAGTAAATTTTAATACAATTTGCTCCACAGAAAACTCTCAAAAGACCCAAACATCTTAATGGGCAATTGTTTATTTATAACACAATAGCATGTTCAGTCTTAAAAGCTATGCTTCTGCTATTGCTTTTTGCCATACTAGCATTTGGAGGCAACTTGTTAAATGTCAAATACATCTTTTTCTTAATAGCTTGTAAAGCAGTCAAGGACTGTGGATGTAATATCGAGAAAATTAGCAACGAAAAAGAAGGCCATTCCTACAAAAGTCATGAATAGTGGTGTGATAAAGAAAACTGCCAGTTCTTGTCCAGCTATCCCGAGTTGTAACTGCTATGCAACAGATACAGTTTGTAGTATTTGCCTTTCAAGGTAATATGTTTTGATGGTTCTATAAACTCTCCAGCATGCTACCAGACAAAAGTAGAAATTGCATTAGTTTTGGTGGGGAATTGATTTAGTGAGTGAAAGCGAGTAACAAATCTATGAACTACACAGGCATTGATGCCCAGTAATACCTTGAGGAATTAATGATAACTGTTGTCATATATGTTCTTTTAACATGCATATGCTCTTTGGAAAACACTTTTGCTCTTATATGCAAATAATGCAAGTAATATAGGGGAGGGGAGGCAGAGAGTAGCTTTTTTAGAAACTTCGAATTGCATATTTTGCTTGCTTATGTAATCCTGTTTTATTTCTTTATTCCTGCCTCTGTGGAATAAAAAAGAACCAAATAAGAGTTCCTTCCTTACTTCCACTCTTTTCCCTTTCATTTAAAATTTGGCTTTCATAAAACCTTTCCTGGTTAACTCAAATATATAAGTGAATAAGTATACCATAAGTAATCACCCCCAAATGAATTTTTATACAAATTTCTGTTGTGTTCTATTTTTCTATTATGGCTTTTATCATCTACCACCTTTCTTTGTATTGGAAAGTACCTTAAAACTTTTCCAGAGCCCCAGAATTAGTAGAGGGGGGAGAGATGACTATGAACGAAATACAGAATGTTTGTCACAGTAGATTATTATTTGCTTTATGTCAGTTTTTATTTATATTGATATCAAGGCAAAATTTACCATGAGCTAAGTTGGTAAGTGTTATTTTTTTGGACTTAAATAGTTAAGCTTTAACATAACAAGAGAAATCTTGTTTCCTCCTCATAAGGCGTCAGCAGGTTGCCCCTAGGGCAGGTACCCCAGGATTCAGAGCCCCAGAGGTCTTGACGAAGTGCCCCAATCAAACTACAGGTATGTTGCCTAGAAATACAGGGACCCAGTTCAAAAGGACTATCCCAAATGTATTTTATTCTATGATCTTTATCTATTTATGACTAATGTTTGAGCTCTCCTGATTTTAATTAAATTAAGCAGTTCTAACAGTAATACTCCCATTTTTAAGATAGTATTAGTTATGAAGGTTTATGTTCCTAATGTTACTTTTTTAAAAACAATCTTCTTTTATAGAATGTATTTTTTTAATCCTGTTTACACAGTGATTTTACCAGGAATTTGTTGCCATCACCTTTGTGGAGAAAAAAGTGTATTTAATAGTTTTTGCCAACTTCAGATTTGTAGCACTTCATTTTTTTACCTAATAACTCAGACGTCTTCTGTGGTAGTGCTAGGTTTTGAACTCAGGGCCTCACACTTGGTAGGCAGCCCTTTTTTGTTTTAGTTATTTTTTGTGTGGGATCTGATGCTTTTTGCTCAGGTCTGACCCTCATCACTCCCTCATAATTGGGAGACAGGTACTACACCCAGCTTGTTTATTGATGTGAGGGTCTTGCTAACTTTTCCTATGGGCAGATCTCAAACATTGATCTTCCCATTCTCTGCCTCCCCAGGTGCTGGGATTATTGTTATGCATCACCACACCCAGCCCTTTAAATTATTTTTTGTTCCAGGCATAGTGGGGCATGTCTATAATTCCAGATACTCAGGAAGTAGAAATAAAATCATGGGTTTAAGACCAGCCTAGACAAAGTTTGTGAGACCCTATGTCAAAAGAAATAAAAAGAAAAACAAAAGGACTGGGAGTATGTTTAAGTGGTAGAGTCCTCATCTAGCATTTGCAAAGCTCTGGATTCAGTCCCCAGTTCTGCAAAAAAATACATACGTGGTGTGTGTGTGTGTGTGTGTGTGTGTAATTTGTTTTTGTGAAAACTGTAGGATAACAGTTAACAAAATTTGAAAAAGTCTTTTGTAATCTAAAAGTTGTCATGAAGAGGGAACCCAGAGAACATCTTGCTGAATGAATAGACGGATCCTGCTATTCACTTGGATTATGGGCTTTGAAAAACTGCATTCATTCATTGTATGTTGTTCTGTGCTTGCTAATGATGCAAAAATGAATGAGACTATTGTCTCACATTCTAGTTAGGACACACTCTCAAATAATTATAAAATAACCTGTTGAATATAGTGATACATCTATATAGGGCTTAAGGGATATCTGTTCTAATCCAAAGGGATTATGAAAGGAAGTTTGTGGAAGGGGTGACCTCTGAGATGAGACTATAAATTGGGTGGGAGATTATCATTGATCATGAATTGAGCAACTCAAGAAACAACATAGTCTAACCATAGAGGAAGCTATAAGAGTTTAGTATTGCTAGAATATAAAATGCAAATGGAGAAGTGATTGGAAGTAAACCTGGAAAGAGGCACACAAGGTCAGATCACCTTTCTTTAAATATCTTGGGAAAAGAATTCTAGCTGGGTCATTCTAGCAAGTGTGCTGAGAGGATAGATTTTGTAGATTAGTGGCCTACAGTGGTCCAAGTCAGAGGTGATGAAAATGTAAATGAGGTCATTGGTAACAAGAATGAAAACGTGAAGAATTAGAAAGGCAGAGCTTGGATATCGAGTTTTACTCGATAGTGAGGGAAAAGTTCATTCAGGATATTTACTAGAGTCCTAGCATGATGGACTTGACTGTGTAACAGTAACCAAGGTGGAGAATAAAGGCGAGATAACTGGCTTATAGGGAAAGATAAAATTGGATTGGAGCACGGGTGGTTTGTGGTATTTGTGGCACATCCGAACAGAAATGTCCAGCAGAATACAAGTTAAGTCTGAAGCTCAGGGAAGGAGGGGACTGGAAACACAATTGGGTGTTATCATTATGCAAATTTTGGTTGCAGCTGTAAAGAGAGTGGAGCAGTCAGGGAAGGGTATACGGGGAAGGGATTGGAATTCATCACTTAAGGCTTGAAGGAAACACTGAAGAAATAGGCAAAGATGCAAATGGAGCTGAGAGGCAAGTGATCAGTGAGACAAGGACAATTAGGAGAAAAGATGTCTCTAAAAAAGAAAATAAGAAAGCTTTTTAACATAAAGCCGAGGTAGTTTTTCTTGTTTGGGTTTTTGGTTTGTTTGTGTGGTACTGGGGATCATTTAATTTCTTTTGGTCTTACAAAGTGTACATTTACTCACAGTTTTCTAGTGCTGAAGTATTCTTTTAAACTTACCAAGTTTCTTTCAAAAAAGAAAACTCTGTATTTTGTGGTACAGATATTGAATCAGAGGTCCTGGCTGTACATTAAAATCACCTGAGAAACTTTTTAAAAATACCTGCTACAGGATACCTTCACATCCTAATTTTTTAAGGGTTTCATCATGATGTTGACACACACTAAATGTCTAGACCTACTTATTTAAATGATGAAATTATAGACTTTGGATTTATTTTTAAATTTTGTTTACTGTTACAGCAATTGACATGTGGTCTGCAGGTGTCATATTCCTTTCTTTGCTAAGTGGGAGATACCCATTTTATAAAGCAAGTGATGATTTAACTGCTTTGGCTCAAATTATGACAATTCGGGGATCCAGGGAAACCATCCAGGCTGCTAAAACTTTTGGTAAGCAGTTTTATATTACAGAATAAAGCACATGCCTTTTATTATTTCCTACAAAAAGCAATAAATTATTACAAAGTTCTCTTTACAAATAGACTCTGTTCATAAAGTTCTATAATCTTAGGTAGGAACTTTTTTAATTGCTTGAAGATAAATTGCATTCATGTTAGGAAATAATTATTCTCTAAACATGTGATCATTTAATCTTACCAAGCACAGAGTGCTAAGCCACTTCAAAATTTAAAACTCAACTTTATAATCACTTTTTCTCTTCTTTTCTCTTTGTGGATCAACTACTAGGACAAATCAATTTTATAATCTTAAAAGAATAAGAGAATCTTAGCTCCCTCCAGGGTGGTTTGACTTTTATTATGTAACATTTTAATTTTTCATTGCATATTTAGCATCAGGTACTCCTCTTGGTACTGAAACATGGCCTAATCATAGTTTTAGTTGGCCTTATCTAACAAGTAAACAATTAATTAGAATTCAGTGTTTTAAGGGTAACATTGAGGAAGAGAATAGTATTGTGTGTTAGTCATCAGGTTCCTTGGGGTTAGGGCAACAAAGAAGAAGTGAGATGAATGGAACACTTTCTGATGGAGTACTATTGTGAGCATATGTTGGACATGGGAAATCATGTCCTTAGCAATGCACGTTCTTCAAGATTGAGAGATGCAGTGTACTTTATAGGGCACCTGTACGTATCCCAGCCTTCTAACAACCTGAACACAAATGCCCACCCAGCACAATCATAGTTAATCCTTTCCAAGGCTTAGGTGTGGTTGGATCAGCTGGTAGTATGAAATACCTCTATGGACAAAGCTTCAATCAGCTTACCTTGAGTTACTGAGCTTCCATGGGTCCATCCCAGGATCAGTGGGTCTTAACCAAGGGTACATATCAATTATCTGACAAACTTTAAGAAATGTACATGTCTGTCCCACCCTACGCATTCTTGGAAAATATGATATGGAAAAACAGGTTTAGGAAGGCTCCAAGGCTTGTTAGTTTGAAGACACAAGTGATTCTGACCAAGAACTACTTCTGGTTAAGAATCACTGTAAAAATGATCGCCCTTTGCTTGGGCACAAGTGCCATGGTCTAATCCACAAGAAAAATTCTGGTGGCTGTTAGGAAAGTCTTGTAATAGAGGCTTGCCAAAAATTTTATTTCTCCAGCAGTCAATCCACAGCTTATACCTGTCTTCTACCTATCATAAGAAAATTTTGTTTAGGATAATAGGATGAAATACTACATGAATACAAAGGAAAAGTGACCATGAATGGAAAGCAAGATTGTTATTTTGAAACTGGTATTACATTATAATGAACATGTTTATTTGCAACCAATTGAGAAAATTCTTTGTCTACTATTAAGAGAAGTTTATGAACGTGAAGTTTACCAGCCTGCACAAAAACATTTTGTAGAACTTGAATTTCCCCCATTAGTAATGAAAGTTATAACAAGGGCCAATGATTAAAGTACAATATCTGACACAAAAATATTCCAGGGCAAGGGTCATGATAGCAGGCAAGGGCTTTTGGAAATTTACCATTATAAAATGCTTTTCTCATATTAAAAAAAAATGCTATGTAGTACTTGTCTTGGGTTTTTTTTTTAGCATGAATTCTGTAATTATTTCAGTCAGATCTTACTATAACTTTGAGCTAAGTGCGGAAGACTCAAAATTTCTACATACACAAATGTGTTCCCCTTTATAACATAAAAAAATGACTTGCCTGAGATTCACAGTGAGAGTTTCTCTTGTATGTAACTCGCTCAACTGTCCTCAGCCCCTAAACGTGGCCCCATTGTAGCTGGTCATTACTTGTTGAGTTGTACTAAATAAATCTAAAAGAAAGCCTTGAGCTAAAACAAATGCCTGACACATAGGAATCTATAGCAAAATATGCTTGGTTTAAATATGTTAGGGTATTTTCCCTGAATATTTTAAATGTACCCTTTCTTTGGTCATACACAAAAATAATTTAGGCATATTGTATAGTTTGGGACATGCTCTAACATAATGTTACTTATTATGACTTCAGAACACACTAATAAATGAAGGACTAAAATGATATGACTGTTCTCTAGCTAGTACTTCCTAGCTTTAGAAGTAAAAATGATTGGCATAGTGAAGCCTCACTAGACTTAGTTTGTGGTAACTTGTTTCCTTTGCTTTCTCCCTGCCTGCTTCTCCCTTCCTTTTTCCTGCCTTAGTACACTAGTCTAGTAGTTAGATCAAAAAAGTAACTTTTTATTACTGAGATTGCTTTGTTGACAATCTGCAAACTCCAGCAAAGAATCTAAACATCCTGCTCATTGTTTGAGAGCTACGTTTTTGTTAATAAGGAAATACAGGCAAAAACAGTGCACAGTTGCCCATTTATATTAACTTATATTTCCCCACATATGATGGTAAGCTGATGGGCAGTCATTTTAAAGACCCTCTATTTTAAAAACCTGAGGTCTGGTTTGCTTATTAATTCATTCAGGAACATGCCTGGGGTTTTATATGTGCTAGATACTATAGTGAGTCTGCTTTCATAGTTTAAATTGTAATGAGGTTTAGAAAGTAAATATTTACTATCCAGGTGAATGGTATTAAGAAAGACAAAAGGACAAAGGGAATAAAGAGTGCCCTGCTGTGTAGAATAGGTTGGTTAAGAGCAGAGATGTTTCAACAGATGCTTTTTTGTCTAGTCCAACACCTAATATTTACCAGGAAGTATATAGGTTTGGGGGGAGTGGAAGAAATGAGACAGCCCTATCTTCAAAGAGTTCACAGTCTAGAAGGTGAGACAGACACATTCTTATCAGTTGTGACATAGGGTAGCAAAAGAACTCTTCCTAGGTTAGAACAGAAGCATAAAATCAGCTTTCTCTGCGTGTCAGATCTTAGACCTCAGACATGATTCTTGAGCTAAGTAGTCATGTGTGTCAGAGTGTCCTGAACATTGGGACATTCTAGGCGAAGACAGGAGCCACTGTAATTAAATGCAGAGAAGCTTGGAAGGGGCATAGAGGGTGAGAGATGCATCTGATTAAAGATTACAGGATAAAATGAAGCTGAAGAAGTTGGCAGTCAGATGAGCGCCTAGCATAGCTTAGTAAGTCACCACTTTCTGCTTACTGTCTCCCACTTTATAGTCTAGCCCTCAACTGTGTAGTTCAGTTACAACTTAAAAATAGCATGTGGTACTCTATCTCAGATATGTCCATTAAGCGTATGGCTGACTTGCATGTTTCTTGTGAGAGGTGCTTCTGATACATTCAAATAATACAATAAAATACGGGTTTTTTTCTGTCCCTTTTAGGCAAATCAATATTATGTAGCAAAGAAGTTCCAGCACAAGACCTAAGGAAACTCTGTGAGAGACTCCGGGGTCTAGATTCTAGCACTCCCACGTTAACAAGTGATACCCAAGGACATGGTTCTCACGACCCAGCATTTTCAGAGAAAGCTGACCAAACAACTCACGGACAGCACTCAGAGGACTCTTTACATAAAGGGGACAGCAATGGTTGTGGGAGTCGTTTTAATGAGTATACTACCAATTTAGAAGGCTGGGCTGAAGTACCTGATGAAGCTTATGACCTGCTTGATAAACTTCTAGATCTAAATCCAGCTTCAAGAATAACAGCAGAAGAAGCTTTGTTGCATCCATTTTTTAAAGGCATGAGCTTGTGATAAATGGTTCTTCATTTGGTGCTACTAGTGTGTATAACAAGGTAGAGCAAAGAGTTCTGCATAATAACCACAAGTTCTTGTTTAGAGATCAGGGCAGGATGAGTAATTTATTTAGGAATTTTAATACTTGTGTTGGTGTTAGATTGTAAAATACAGATTAAAATTACTTAAAATGCCTGAGAGAGTTCTTTGGATTAACAACATGATCTTTGAGTTAAACCCACCAAAGTAGAATCAGATATTTAGTTTCCTTAATTACTGTTCACTGAAATATGAAGAAAAAGCATTTTTAGCCTGACACATGGTTTCAAGGTATAAGTCTTAAAATTAATGGATGGGTTAGGGATTAAATGAGTCAAAAGATTTTGTTTCTTAAATTCCTAGAGTATAAGCTATATGTCCTTTTGGAAAATTCAACCTGGTATTGGTGCTTTTATCAGTTTTACAGGTTAAAAAAAAAGATTATTTCCTTTTCTGTAAGCATACAATATACCTTTTATGAACACTCCAAAGAATTACTAAGGAAATGCTGGTCGTAGTGCAAAATGTCACTTACAGTTGAATTTGTCCATTTTTTAAAAAGTATTTCATAAAATCATTTTTGCATAAATTGTCATGTTTTTTGGATTTTTCTTCCTCCTCTGCCTTCATCTAACACCATTCTTCTTGGAAATTATATGTTGCTTACCACAGAGTTTCTGTGTGCTTTATTAAATGTTACATGTATTTGCAGTTGGAAACTTAAAATAATAGTGTGCATAGTAATTGGTAAGAGGAAGCCTTCAGGACCAAGGTAACTATTAATAGTCCAAAATGCTGCTTTTTCACATCATCTTGAGTATTATTAGGTGGCTGCTAAAAGGGAAGGGGAGCATAGAATTGAGAACATTATTAGATTTATTTTTCCTCTGCCTAGTGCCATCCAGATTTCTATATTCTGTTTTAAATTTGTTCTTGCTCAGAAAAAGAATGATTACTGAATTTTCAGGTGGGTTGGGAATAGCTATAATGAAGTAGGCAAAGCAGAAAAAGATCTAGAATAGAGAATTAATTACACATTTATATTCCAAAATATTTATCAATATCAAACTTACTATGAGAAATAAGCCTGGAGAGGGTAGATCTGAGAATTTCCCAGTTAGTCAACATAGATTATAAGAACAGTTTAGGGAACATTACTCACTTATTCCAAATACTTTTTGAGCATTGATAGATCAGTATGACTACCTGTTTGGTAAGTCTAGTTTGTGTGTATGTCATTATGTGTATATGTATATATACTCATAAATATATCCATACATAAACTGCTGCTGTTGATATGTCCTATGCTGTAACCTTTTTTGTTTTTTGTTTTTTGTTTTTTTTTTTTTTGAGACAGGGTCTTACTATGTAGCCCAGGCACTCCATGAACTTTATTTTGGCTGCACTGGTGTTCGAACTCAGGGGCTCGTGCATACTAGGCCAGCGCTCTTACCACTTGAGCCACTCCACCAGCCCTGCTGTAACCTTTTTTTAAAACTTCAATGTTTTTGAATTTGTTTGTTTAATAAAGTTATCTTTCTGTATTTTTCTGTCAGACTATTCATGTAAAACTTGGCAGTTGAAGCCAGGCACATGGTATTCCCTGTCTGTAGTTCCCACTACTGCAGAGGTTGAGGAAGGAGTACTTGAACTCGGGATTTAAGGCCAGTTTGGGCCAAAAGGAAGGGAGAGGGGGAAGGAGGAAGAGAGGGGGGGGAAGAAGGGAAATGGAGAGCTTTTAAAAATTGTACACATGAAGTATTTTCCTTCTAAGATTAATGAATAATCTCTCTTCAGGAAATAGTGGATAGTAAGTTAACAAATACTGTCCTGACTCTAGTAATATAAAAAGTAGGAGATTTTTCTATAGAAAAGATGCTCATTGGCTTATTTACGCAATATTTGACATAAATAGTAAAACACTGAACCGACAAGTATTTATACTCACCTAAAATTTTTGACTCATGTTAGTGTGTCCTCAGAATACTAAGAAAAAATTACCAGAAGGGGAGGGTGGGGAGGGAGACATCTCCAAGAACGTTTAGAAATCAGAGCTATTGTTTTAACTTTGTATTAGGACAGGATGTGGTTGATACGCAAGGTTGGAGGTAAAAGGAAAATAAATTTACTAATTAATGACATTTCCTATTATTTTGGAAGTTCCTGGAGTATTCAGCTAGTTTTAATGGTCTAGTTTAATTCTTACTGCTCAGACTTGAGATAAAATTGTCAAGGGTATGTTTATTTAATAAGCTTTAGACATTTAGAACTATTAATATAACAAGCCACATGTAGTAGTTTTCAAAACAGGCTGCAGCTCTCAACATTTTTAATGAAACTTTTCCTTTTAAGGAAATGATTATGCTTGTCTTAATGACCTAAGTAACAATGTGGCTCAAGAATGGTTATTCCAAGGAATTAAACTTTACTTATTTCAAAATCTGAACAAAAGTCATCAAGTAATGTCAAATACTGTAGTGTCTGGCCATCAGCATTTTAGAAATAAAATTTGTATTGCAGATGTCAAAAGTATTGATTGCAAAATATCTTGAAACCCACAAAACTTGTAGGTTTAGGTCTTAGTAATTTCTGTTGTTTATGTAATTTCAGCCCTACAAGTCACCAGAAAGTTATTTTTCTTTAAAAGTGTGGCCAGATTTGGCGGGTGACACTGTCTGCCAGTGTCTGCAGATGTATCATTTACGCCTACATTTGTGCATGTTGTCTGTGGTCTTTAAAGAACACATCTAACACCAGACAATGACTCTTCAGATGTTTTTCCCTGTATTCTTAAAACATCTGATGTTGTGCTTTCCTAGTTTTGTCAAATTAGGTCTAAACTGTCTTTGAAAGGTAGACATTGTCGACCATGTTCCAGATAAGTAATCAGAAGTAGCTAATGCTGTGCCAAATTACAGCAAGGGTTTCAACAAAGTAACCACAAAAGTCAGTGCTAAGGTGAGGATTTAGTAAACAATGAAAAGCATGATCTTAGGAAAACAATTTCAAATTGATTGAGAATATCATAAAAGTAAAGTTTAGAAAGAAGAGAAATTGAAACATGATGTAAGAGCCTAATTTGACGTAATATTTTTCTCAGTAAAAAAATGAACTAAAAGGGTAAAAATGTCCTTGATTTCTCTTTCAAAGTGCTTTTAAAAATTAACAGTTTATAGGAAGGAATTCAAAAGAAGAAATAACATAAAAACTTAAGAGTGTTTACAGAGCTTTTATAGGCAAGAAAGGACTAGAAAACATGTAACTGGTTTAGAATTTCTATTTAATCATACCATGAGTGCAGAATATCCTTTGAATCCTAGCCATTAAGCAGATTCCATCCTGAACTCTACTGAAGCAATTCTTTTTAAGAAAAGTAACATATGAAGGAAAATATGGAATAAACTGCTTCTAGATTCATCTCTTTCTAGATTTAGAGAATGCCAGTGTCACTGGTAGGGAACCAAAAGATGGACTTCTAACATCCTGAAATCGGAAGAGTAAAACTGAGTACTCCTTTGTGGGGCGAGTAGCACAAATTAGAAGATGAAAGAACCATTGTATTATTTCTTTCTGATCAAAAGTTTTGCATATGTTCCTTATCTACATTGTGCTGATTGTGTGTTTTTGTATGTGTATTTAATTATGTGTTTGCCCTGTAAATTCCTTTTGTAACTTTTGAAGAATCTAGCATATGATCTAGAAATTACTCCAACTAGGAGAAGACCAAGAAGTAAATCAGAAACAGATACATGGCTATATAACCTCACATTGTTAGTTTAGATCTGTCCTTAAGAAAAGATGCAGAGGGCTGGGAACCAGTCACCTCCAAATTTTTCTAGACACTCAATGCTTTTAAGTAGAAATTCCTTTATTCCTCCTGGCATTTTGCTGATTACTATCTCCTTATTCTCAAATGCTCTGATTAAAAACAAAACCAGTCACACTGTATGTGTAGGCATGTGAGTAATCTTTATACAAGTATTACTAATGCTTCTTTAAAATTACACTTTTCCCAAAGACTGGTGAAATGAACACATGGTGTTCTGTGAGTACTTTTCTTTCATCTTGATTTATTTTAAAATTCCGTAAGTAAATAACTATAGCAAATGTTTACTCCTCATAAAAAAAACTTGTTATCACTTTTATTGTTTACAAAAATTAAAAATATCGTCATCTTACATCTCTTGGTAGTGTTTTATGAGAATGTATCTGTTTCATTCACTTCATAATTGTGACTAGGTTAGTAACTGGCATTTGAGTTGGGTGCTCTATATAAACACCAATGCACTTAGGTACATTTAATTAACTTGCTTTCTTGGCAAAATGGTAAGCCAAAAACCTCTCAACAAGAGTACCTTGGAAGTACCCTCTCTCTTGGAACCTCCTCCCAACTCTGGGGATGCTATTCTACCACTTTAGTCTTTTCTATTTCAATAAACTCTCCTGCTTTATACTTTTTTTTTTTAAGTGCCTATATTTTTGAGTTTGGTATAATTTGATTGGCAATGACACCAAAGTGTAAGAAGAGTGAAGTGTATCATTTCTCCTACATTTCTTTCCACTTTAAAAATGTAATTTAAGTAAAGGCAAGATTCTAATGCTATGCTTTAGGTTCAGACCCCAAGGGGTCTTTTTACATTGTAGTTCCCATTGCCTAGAATGTCTTTCCCTCCAATTTGTCCCAAATGTACTCATTCATATTCCTCTACAAAGTCTACTCTGATCAGTCCAAATGATCATTTCCTTGACTTCCTATACGCAGATTGGAAGCTTCTTGAAGGTGAAAATTATTTTACATTCCCTCATATCTCCTACCACATTAGAGACTCGGAGTACTCAATCAAAACTTTGGGCTTGATGGAGTACCTGACATAGGGGGCATTTCCAAGCACCACCAGAGTAATCCCAGCCGAAAGATAGCCCCTTTAATTCTTAAACAGCTAAAGGATTATCCTGTTTTCCCATGTGGATCTGTCCAAAGATCTGTCAGCTCCCCAACCATCACATCTACCTCAGTATTAATTTCTGTGCTCTTGGGTTTGGTGTGCTTCCTTCCCATTGCGCTGACCCAGTGGAGTCACAGTTTATCATATCCTTTCACATCCTTGTAGAAGAGGCAAGTGAACAAAAATTTCATAATTCTCTGGTATAGTCATGCTTTTAGTTCCTATTTGTGTGCCAAACATGATAACAATAAAAAGAATATCTTAAGGATTTACAAATATGTGTAAAGCATCTGGGAAAAGCATAATGTATGCCCTCGATTGTGCTTTGCTAGTACAATTCATACAATTCCTATTTAACCTGGAAGTTTCTGAGATAGCTTCAATTCCAAAACTGTCAGTCAATTCCAAAAACTTACCTATGTTTTCTGAGAATTCCTATGTTTCAGGATCCAAGTTGCATTTATATGACTCTCTCAGCTAGAAATAGTGTGCAATTGTTAGAAATGCATTCCAATTTTTCAGCTTTGAAATATGCCCACTATAACATGGCATCTGAGGCCATCGCTGTCTTGGGGACCAAGGATGTGTATTTTAAGCAGAAACGAGGCCTTAAGTATTTTCACTGAGGTCTCACATTTAAAAGTGTAAATATCACAACTGGAAAATATTTTAATGCCTCCTTGCTCATCCTTTGTTGATTAAAAAATAAACCTTGGTGGCGGAGGGGCTCAAATGGTAGAGCACCTGCCTAGCAAGCGTGAGAACCTGAGTACCACCAAAAATAAATAAAAATAAATCAACAAACCCTGACTGGAGGCAGCATGACATAAGGAATCAGCCAAGGTTGGCTCTTCCCTGAACTAAGTCGCAGTTTCCTCACCCGCAAAGTGGGGTTCGTGTGCCTGCTGTTTGGAGGAGTAAGTGAAAGTGAGCTCCCTAAGAACAGTGTTGACCAAGTACATAACTGATTTTCTTCCCTCCTTCCTTTATTCCCCTGGCTTCTCTTTATCTTTTCATATGGGGCACATTGTCTCAGAGTATATGTACTTACATATTTCTTCCTTAACCTTTTTTTTTTTTCTTCAAGCACTTGAAGGCTTTTAACAAAACCATAATCTGGGATTTAAAAAAATTTTTTAAAAAGCCATTATCTGGGATGCTGATTTTCCATCCATTGCGATGTCCTCTCTGCCCACCAGAGGGCAGGAAATCCTTTGGCATACATTGTGAGAAAGCTACCCAGACATGTTTGGCCTGTCAGCGGGGCTTCTAAAAGAGAAAAGGTACACACACACACACACACAACAACAA